TGGTGCTTTGGGGAAATGGACGGGTTTATTTACTTAATCGTATACGAGATCCTAATTCACTGAGTAATTTGAATTACTCATTCCCATTCTATTTGTTGCAGGTAACCTTAGTCAGGAAACCCTTAGTGGGGTGTTGGACGATAGGTCATAAGACTTGGGAGATTTCGGTGATCTTGTAAAGTGATAAATTTTGTTATGTATCTTTAAACCTCGGATCCGAAAATACATATAAGATTTTAAAACGGCATTCTCTCTAAAAAATATACTACTTATAAAACAAGTGTTTACGAAATTTATCAAGTTATAATGATGTTAGGTCCTATCCAGACTGAACTAACTGTCTGGCTTGATCCGGGTTGGCAAGCCTTGGGTCATCCTAGATGGGAAGGACGCTCTTGAACAGATGGGACCAGAGCATTTAATAAGTTTTTGTGGGTTGGTCCATCCGTTCTTGAGTGTTGCGGTAGTACTCCCTTGCGGTGAGATTTCACCGCATGATCATGGGTGTTACATCCGGGATTTCCTTGCCAGAGTTGCGAAGACTTTAGTTTTAGCGGGCTCTAGCTTTGTTGAAATTGCAAATGATTTTGCCGTAAGAGGAGGAGAAGGAATGGTCTTGTGCGAAGTCGATTCACCATAACCTCCATTGACAGTAACAATTGAGGTCCTTGAATCTAATGGAAACTCGTAATCGAAATAGGACTTAACGAAAATTATGTCCACCCATACCTGAGTCTATCCGGATAACAAACATTCCAAATTAGTAAGAGACACGAGTGCCCGCCCTCTAAATAAAAGAGACGGAACTCAACTGATCTTGTCCAAAACTCAACCTTAAAAATGTCAAGCTCAGTAGTAAGACGGATCCGAATCCTCAACTTGACCCGGAAACCAAAACCCGACTCCAACATTTCAATCGCTCTCCTCCACACCACCGTCCCTTCTCCACCGCCCGATCTCTCAAACCCAACACCACTAGATCCTCTGATTTCCGACGCCGTCTCCATCCTAACTCACCACCGCTCCAAATCACGGTGGTCAACTCTCCGATCTCTCCACCCTTCCGGTTTCACTCCTACACAATTCTCCGAAATCACTCTCCGCCTCCGCAACAATCCTCATCTCTCTCTCCGCTTCTTCCTCTTCACTCGCCGCTACTCTCTCTGCCCTCACGACATCAGTTCCTGCTCGACTCTCGTCCATATCCTCGCTCGATCTCGTCTCAAGAGCCACGCTCGTGACGCAATCCGTCTCGCTCTCCGTCTAGCAGACGAAGAAACCGAAACCGAACGCGTCTCCAAAGTGTTTCGGTCGTTGATCAAGAGTTACAATCGATGTGGGTCTGCACCGTTCGTGTTCGATTTGCTGATAAAATCGTGTCTTGATTCGAAAGAGATCGATGGAGCTGTGATGGTAATGAAGAAATTGAGGACTAAAGGAATCAATTTACAGATTAGTACTTGCAATGCTTTGATCTCAGAGGTTTCAAGGCGTAGAGGTGCTTCCAATGGATATAAGCTATATAGAGAAGTCTTTTGTTTAGACGATATTAAAGTCGATGTAACTGAGAAGTTCGTAGTTAGGATTAAGCCGAATGTGAACACTTTCAATTTGATGATGGTGAGTTTTTATAGAGAAGGTGAAACAGAGAATGTAGAAAGGATATGGAGAGAAATGGAGGAAGAAGTAGGATGCTTTCCGAATGCATATAGTTATAGTGTTTTGATGGAAACGTATTGTGCTCGAGGTATGATGAGCGAAGCCGAGAAGACATGGGAAGAGATGAAGTTAAAAGGAGTGGATCATGATGTTGTGGCTTATAACACCATGATTGGTGGACTTTGCAGTAACTTAGAGGTTACTAAAGCGAAGGAGCTTTTCAGGGAAATGGGATTGAAGGGAATAAAGTGTACTTCTCTAACCTATCAGCATCTTGTGAAAGGATATTGTAAAGCAGGGGATGTTGATTCGGCTATGGTTGTTTACAGAGACATGAAGAGGAAGGGTTTTGAGGCAGAGGGTTTAACTGTTGAAGCATTAGTAGAAGGACTATGTGATAGTGACAAACACAGAGCTCTTGAAGCTGCGGAGATCGTGAAGGATGCAGTGAGAGAATCCGAGTTTTATCCTAGTCGGAAATGTTACGAGTTGTTGATAACGAGGTTGTGTGAGGAAGGGAAGATGGAGAGAGCATTGAACATTCAGGCTGAGATGGTGGGGAGAGGATTTAAGCCGAGTCAAGAGACGTATAAAGCTTTTATCGACGGGTATGGAACAGTAGGCGATGAGGAAACATCTGCATTGTTAGCCATAGAAATGGCGGAATCTCTAAAGCTAAGAGCAGGCGAAGAAGAAGTTTGAGTCAGGTCTATGTATTTTTGCAAATGACAATCTCAATTCAATCAACACTAACACCTCATTGACCATTTCTTATTTCTGAAAGTCTTGACTAGTGAATAAGTCAAGAGAGTAAAACTAAAGCCACATTCTCTGATAAGAATGTGAGAGACATGATCATACAAATCACTCTTACATAGTAGAAAAGAAAAAACAACAAATGGGAAAGAAACTTAAAAGAGTTGTGGAGTGAGGTAGCTTAAAAGATGAAAGCCCAGACAGGGAAGATAACAAGACAAAGGATTCCGACAATGTTGGAGATGCCATTAGCTTTTGTAAAGGCGTTTCTAAATCCACCACAAGCTCTAATGTGTTCTTGAAGCAAGTAACATCCAATACCTAAGCATATAGCTAAACCGATCCAATTGTCTCTGAATGTACCGGCGAGTAGTCCTGGAGCAACCACGATGAGTAGAATCGCAGCCGCAGGCAATTCAAACCAATCTAACCAACAACAACAACAGAGATATCCAAATCAGCGAATGAACAAAAGTCTGGTTTTTTTATGGAGATAGTAATAGAAAGTACGAACCTTTGAAGTGTTTAGGGAAGAAGAGTTGCAAAACAACAGCTACGAAAGCAATCCATTTACCAATTTCTCCTCTGTGAATTTTTGTCAGACACATGTCAGGAACATAATAATACAAAAGTAGAAGAAAAGTCTCTGTTTTTGTTGTTGTTGTCGAATTACCTGAAAAGACCGAAGATAATGGAAGGAAGACTGAAAAAGATGTAAGGGATCAAAAGTGAAGTGAGCATATTCGTCTTCCAATTGGTACGATCCAACACCAACAAGTATCTGCATTTA